CGCCCACCACCCACCCTAAATAGAACTATTATTAAGCGTACTTTCTTTTCATGTTGTAGATAAAGTACTTTTTTTTATTTCAATATAATGAGTATATTCTTTTCATGATGTAGTAAAAATATTTTTTTTATTTCAACAAAATAAGTACCTTTTTTTTCATGATGTAGAAAAAGTATTTTCTTTCATTTCAACAAAACGATTATTTCTTTTCATGATGTAGAAAAAGTATTTTCTTTCATTTCAACAAACTAAGTATTTTTCTTTTCATGATATAGAAAAAGTATTTTCTTTCATTCAACAAAATGAGTAATTTTTTTTCATGTTGTAGAAAAGTTACTTTATTTTTCAACAAAATAAAGTATTTTCTTTTTTAGTTATCGAGCTCAAATTTCGACGTTGTTCTTATGTGAAAAAAAATAAAGTAGCACATTAGTTCCTTTGGATTTGTGTGAATTTTTTCAAAAACTTATTAAATTCTTGAAGAAAATAGAGTCCGGGAGGGGGGAGGGGGGAGTAGGGAAAACATGGGGATTTTGGAGAAGGTGCGTTGAGGAGAGTAGCATAAAAAATTATTTTTCTAAAAATATTTTATACTCTCTAACCAAACACTAGAAAATATTTTCCGGAAAATGTTTCTCACTCACCAACCAAACAAAACAAGGGAAAATAAGTGATAAGACCACTCAAAACATTTTCTTTCATAGCAAACACACCCTTAGTATTCTTTCTATTTGAGTCTCTTTTGGGGATTTGCTTGAGAGCATAATCAGAGTTGAATTTTGTTTATAGGTTGTAGTTGTTTAAATGTTAGGGCATTGATGAGGGCTTTATGGTTCATTAGTATTTGTTGTAGTATTAGATTATTCAGACATGAAGTTGTAAAACAGTTCTAAGTTTGGGAGTCTAGAATATGATTATCTTTTACCAAAATGAGAATGCTTAGTTATCTGCTAAATTGGCACTAGTCTTACTTAAATATGTAACAAGAAAAGAATGATCTCATATAGTAACTCAGTTTTGTTTTCCACCTTCATCTTCTTGCCAATTAAATTGGATGTCAAATTCATTGATAATCATATTTCCTAATCATCATACTATATTATAAGTGGGAAGGCCTAAAGTAAAACTTAAAAGACCAAAATAGCCATCAAAAATTGAATGACTTTTTTATCCCTAATCTAATCATTACTCCAGTAATATTTTTGTACCAAATAGTGAATTTTCCCTCTACCCCTAAATGATTAATTAATTAATTAGTTGCGAAGATTAGTGTGAAATTTATGTGTCTATATTCAAGCACTTAATGTAATTCTAATAAAACAAAAAATAAATTAATAAACTAAAATGGGACAAATGTGGGTAATCTCATCGGTTGCAGAAAACCAACAGACATCCAATAAAATTGATAATGATGTGTGTGTAT